AAAGGATCAAAAACTAAATTAAAACAAACTTATAAATTTTATTGCAAAGACGATTAATTAATGAACTGGTGGCTTGACTCTCTAAAATGGGTCCCCAGCTGAGTTGCCAAGCTGTCAAAACGGTCCTAACAGATTTTTAGGGCTATGGCAAGGAACAATCCAAATTAATCTTGGAAAAGGTTGGGTTTTAAAATAAATAAATAAATAAACAAATTTAGAGTCGTCGTCGACTTTTGGGTTAGGTAGGTCGAATACCTAAAAATATCTTTTAAAATAATTTTAAGAAAAATAATTTTAAAAGATAAAAAATTGATCTGCGTTTGACCAGAGATTTGTTTTGAAAAAGGTTCGGGATTCAGTTACACGTAGGGAAGGATTAGCACCCCCACAACGCCCTACAACGATACCTAGGCGATTAATTAATTGTCTTTGCAATGAAATTTATACGTTTAGATTTAATTTTGTTTAAGATCCCTTAAAACAAAACTTTATGAATTTAAAAATGAAACCTAATAATATTTAATTATTTCCTATCGAGAATAAAAGACCCCTCATACCTTGTGACAATCAATTCTTACTCCAATCGAAATATAGAAATATTACAGTTTTATCGCAATACTCAGATGCACAAATTAAATTAAAATTATCAATCCTTTTAAAGAAGAAGAATATTTGATTATTTAAAGACGTTGAGATTGGACTTTAGATAAGTTCTAACGATCTTTTCTCAAAGAATTTAAATAAACAAACATTTTTTCCTATATTCCCATATTTTAAGTGTGGTCAAATTTTTAAGGTTCCACTTATTAGGATATTCTTTCATCTTAAAATATTTAAAAGTGACATTCTTATTAGTTAAGACAATCACTTCCCGATAATTTTAAAATGAACGAATTTTACCTTTAGTCGAATAATTTTAATTGAAGTCATGCTATGGTCATAAGGCCATTATACATGTCGGATAAAATATAACTAAATTTAGATGCACATATACATACAAATATGATAAATTTAGGGATTAAATGATAAAACTAACAAAAGATCAAGGCAACCATTGCAAATATTTCATATGTTAGGCACTTCAAACATAAATAAATCAATAGTATTATTTAGAAAAAAATGTTAAATTTGAGGATTAAACTATAAAATAATCAAAATTCATGACCATAAATAGAAAAATCACGCAAGCTAGGTACTGGAATATTAATTTAGCCATCATCAATATCTAGGATTAAAATGAAAATATTAAAATCTAAGGATTAAATTAGAAATTTACCCAAAATATGTGGAAACATGGATAATGACAAATAGAAATGGGGTAAAGCTTGAGATCCAAATTAAAATACATAGAAATTAATTACAATGACGAAAATAAAATTTTACAAAGTTAGGGGGACTTGGGATGAGATTTGCCCACGTGCCCAAAACGAAGAAATCCCCCTTCAAAACTATGTCGTTTCGGTATGGGTATAAATACCCTAAATCGACCCAAAAAATGAGCCAACCTCTCTTTTTCTATTTTCATTCTCTTTCTAAAAGAGAGAGAACTTTGTTCTCTCTGGCTTCTCTCTTCTTTCCCTCACTGGAGGGAGGCTGGCCACCGCTCGTCGAAAACCTCCACCACCGTTCACGGTGATCTTAGTTAAGAAAACGATAAAAAATGACCCTTTTCCTACCCTAAACCCGAATATGACCTTCCCTCTTCCTAAAAACCTTCCAAACGCCGTAGATATAAGATTTTACCTTTGAACCGACGACGCTTAAAGGCTCTGGTGACGACGAGGTAAGTTTTTTCTCCTCGATATCTTCTCGTTTTTCTTTGTTGTTGCTTTCGAATGGTTGTTGGCCCTCTGTTTTCTCTCTTTCGTTGTTTCTAATGGTTCTCGAATGGTTGCTCTTGTTGTGTTCTCTCATTTTTTCTCTCTTAACAGGTGGGTTCTTTTATAGGACCCGTGGCTCATTCCTTGGACCGGTTGGAGAAGGGTTTCCCTTTGAGTCACCGATCTATGTCGATGACTAGGGGCGGTTGTGACTCACCAGAGGCGGCAGGTGAGGTGGCTAGGTGCATTAAATGCACCTAGATACTCTTTGATTTGGTCGGTGCGACGGCTGACGACGGTGGTTGAGTGGCCATCCATGCTTAGTTGGTGGCCTTTTGGTCTTCACTTGAGGCGGCGTCCGGCAGGAGCATTAGGGTAAAACCCTAGTTGATGGGAGATATGGACTGTTGGATCTCTCACAAATCCAACGGCTGAGGGCTGGCGGCGCTGGGACTTTCAACAGAAACCCTAGGCGAGTTTTGGGCCACATGATCGGGTCGGATCTTGGGCTTTGGGTCAGCTGGTTGTAACTGGGTTTGGGTTTGCTTTGTAATTGGGCCTGTAATGAAATGTAATTTATTATTCAATAATAATAGTAATAATAATAATAATAATAATATAATTATCGGGTCGAAAACCATTGTCTACAACTTTTTTTATTGAATAAATAATATTTTTTTATTATTTTGGGTTAGGTCGGATCGAGTTTGGATTTTATCTCAAAAAGTTGGGTCGGGTTCTGATCGGGTCAGGTGAAGGATGTAAAATTTTCGGGTCAGGTTGGCCGAAACCCGACCGATGCCCATCCCTACCTATAAGTGCATTCACTTTAATTTGAAATCGAGTACACATGCGCATGCAATAAATAATCGTTTAAATATTAACCTAATATTTGAAGTAATTTTAGAATATTCATTCTGTATTTAAAACTATTATGAGATCTCAACATAAAATAATTCATATTAATTGATAATATGTTTGAAAAAATAAATCTCATAGAAAATTAATCAAATAACTTCAATCATAAAAAATCGTTTAAGATCAACTAAATAATAATTAATCGAGAAATCAAATTTGATCTGTCTTCAAATGTCAAAATTTGGAATATTATATACGGGTTTAAATCGAAGTGTTTTATCCAAACATTAAGGTTAAATTTAAAATCTATACCTAATACATTAGTATCAATATCCTATTGGAAGTATCGATACACTATTGGGACTATCGATATCCATATGAGTTCGAAAATATCAAACTTGGATTTAGTACCAATACTCAAATAGAGTATTAATGCTCAATGGTCGATATAGATCCTTAGGTGACAATATTGATATCCATAATAATTTTAAAAATATTAAGGTTAAATTCAATATCTATAATCGAGAAAAATATCAATACCCCTAAACTTAATATCAATATTAGTGTTTGAGTATTAATACTATCAATGAGTTAGTTGCCAAATATTTGAGTGAGCAAGCCTTGACTGGAAAGAGTTTTAATAACACTTGAGGGTGTATAAGACGCTTTAATGAAATTGAAAATTGATAATAAATTATTATTAAGTATAAGAAAAATTATAATGTAGGATTTCATAAAACCTATGCCTTCTTTTGATATTCGAAAAATAATGACACTAAGTTATTTGTATCGTGGTATATAAATTAAGCTAGTTGGATGCATGTTCTAATATTGTGTGACCTAGACTACATCCAAGATACTCGCGTAGAGTGAGCTAACCAGATGTACATTTCTAATGATATAATGAACCCAAACATCACCTGAAGTACTGACATTTGTGGTGCTAATGAGTGTGTGTTCCTGATGTCTGATGACCCGGGTCTCATCTTGATATATTATATGTTAGATAATTGTATGCTTCCGAGGCTATGTGACATCGAAACTCATCTTGATGTTTATATATGTGTGTACGTGGACTTGTGTTAAATTGATGATTTTGATTCTCAAACTATGCTTACCGACATACAGATACTTATGCTTTGACATGCATGATTATAGTAGATTTATTGTTGTACGACACTGAGTGTGTTAGCTCAACATTTGGAATATGAGCAGCGAATGAGGACAAGATCGACTTTGATTGTATTCATGATTTAAATTGATAATAAATCTATAATTTAAAGATCAAATTGGTATTATATCTAAAGTTTAAAAGTCAAATTAATAATTTATCAAAAATTTAAGAATCAAATTAAAAATTAACTTATTTTACCAACATGTCATGATATAAAACTAATGACGTCTAACTATTCAGTAGGCAAAACATTATAAAACAATAATGTAAATGGCAAAAATGTTGCTTTTTTTTTAGATTTCGTGACAAAAAGTGGAATACTTAAAAATAAAAGTGACTATTTTTATTATTTACTCTTCCGAATAGTTTAAACTGTCATCGTTTCTAAGAACTTTCATTTGCTAGCATGTGCTAAGAATTATTTTTATATTTATTTATTGCTGTCGGTGCTAATAATATTGTGTTACAAAGACAAAGGTCCTTGTCAGCAATTATATATAATTAATTTACACCATCCAATATAAGTATATTGTATCTTGGAACGAAAGCGAAAATAAATAATGGAAGATGGTCGCTCAACAGAGGCTGAACAGTGGGGGCAATTTTCAAAAAATTTAATTTGCTTCTCACAATTTTTTTAATTCCGATCATGCTTTAAATTTTTTTAATATATTCAATTAAACTTCTCTCATAATTTTTAAATTTTCACATTAAATTTTCAAATATTTTAATTAGACTCCAATATTTTTGAAAAAAATATAAACGAAATCTTTCAAAAATTTTAAAAAAATTAATATCAAATTTTCAAATTTTAAGTTGATTCCTCTAAATTGTATCATTAAATTCAGTCACTGTCACTCAAGTACACCAATGAAAATGTAAACTATAATTTATATATCATCAACGACCTCTTGAAGGTCAGCCCTCGATTTTTTTTCTTATTTTCAAAATTAAAATTTATTATACATATAATTTTTTTCCTATTTTTATATAAAAATAATGATGCTTAATAAATAAATAAAATAGAAATGATCAAAATATTGTGAAAAAAAATAAAATTTCGATTTAAAATATTAATAAAATGTGTACAATTCAATTATTAGCAGATAACAATTTATCAAAATTGAATTGGCATCATCAACTGATACTTACATATCTGGTTCAAACTCGGCTTTAATCGGACAATTAATCTCATTCCTCCTCCGTTTCAAATTTGGAGTTCTATCATCCAACGTTACCGTGGACGACGGAGATGATGGCAACTGAGCCGATGAATAAGAGGAAGACGGCTCCGGAGATCTTCGCTTGTTATTGGCTACTCTAACAGGCTCCACCAGATCGGAGCCGATGAGGTGGGGAAAATTCAGCTTGGCTTTCGCACCTCGCATTTTAAAAGCCGCAGTGTCATAAGCAAGAGCAGCATCCTCGGGAGTCTCGTAAGTACCGAGCCAGGTCCTCGCACCGTTTCGTTTTGGATCCCTTATCTCCGCCGCATACGTCCCCCACGGCCTTCTCCTAACTCCCTTATAATGCACCTTCTTCGGAGGCGCGTGAGATTCAGAGACACTCGCAGTCGGAGTGGTCTCCGATATCTCAGAAGTCACTTCGGAACTGGAAAACGGAACATTATTAACATCCACTGTGTCCTCCGCCGCGTCAAACAACTGATCGAAGTTCATCCATCGATCAACATTAATCGCATCATCAACAACCGTAAACAGAAGATCATTTTCTGCTACATTTTCCACAAACGGAATTGTATCGGAATCATCTTCCAGAAGATACCGACGAATGGAGTCCAAGAGGCTGAGATCAGATTCTGAAGCACTCTCACAGTACATATTTGGGTGTGTTCTTGGAGATATCGAAATGTTGCTACAGAGGAACTGAATAGGTTGAGCTCCTCCTATTTGGGGTTTGATTATTATATACATTCAAACTTTGGTATTAAACTATTATTATTGTTTTCTTTTGATAATTCCAGGAACTTGCATTTCAATACTCATTTTCATCACGTTTTTCAAGTGCTGCAATTGGTTGAGTTCCTCCTGTTTGAGTTGGAATCGACTTACATAGTGAAAAATAGTTTTAGTTTTACACGATTTTAAGATAGTTTGACGAATAAAAGTAGATAATTGGGATTAATTCTTTGTTTCTTTTTGTGAATATTTTCTTATCTCTTATTGTTAATTTTGATCATTTATTTTTACACATTCAACGGTCCTAAATTTATATAAAAAAAAATTATACTATGCAACTAGATCTTATTTTATTTATAATATTAAAATTTATAATATAAACTATATTCCTAATTATTTAGTTATAGAGTTCTAATCTCACAATCGATTTTTTATTTTATTAATATGATCATTTAATTATTTAAATGATGCTAATCAAATATCTAACCATTAACATTTAACCAAAAAAATAACGTGAGAGTTAAAAAGTTGATATAATGTACATTTAGTTCTATAAATATGTGGTTATACCTAATTTTTTAAAAATATCACATCATATTTTTCATTAAATGTTAATGATTAGCGGTTAGATTAGCATCATTTAATGTATTCGAATGTAGTTTGAGGTATATTACAAATAATCAATATAAATATTGAAAATTCATAATATTTACAAAATAACGTATTAATCCCGTATAGGATGATGCATTATCTTTTAGGATTAGATTTATTATTTTATTAGGAATTAAGGTTGGGTTAAAATATTATCTTTAGTTATTATTATTTTATTAGAAATTAGAGTTAAAACATGTTTAGTTTATTATTATTTTATTCATTAGTTATCTAGGACCTTTAGAACTCAGTCCCTATATAAAGGAGGCTTCATTCAACTTTGTAATTAAGATTTCTTTGATCAATAATACAACGAGAGTTTGTTTTTGCAAGTGCTGATTGCCTTGTGCCTTCGAAGTTTCTTCTCCTGGAGTTCTTTCAAGTTCTTGTGAGGGAGATTAATCTTCACACTCCAATTTGCCTTTTCATCGCGACTATATGTGGTGGATGCATCAATACCATGAAGTTCAGAACAACATTGTGCAGCAAGTCCGTGACCTTATAAACAGATCAGGGAAAGGTGATTCAACTTCTGAACTTCATCGCGAGCAACGCGTGATCTTAGATAGCAGGCACTTTCGTTTCTGTCCTTAAAAGTTTCCCACATCATATCTGTAAAGGAAATGCTTCAAGCGTAAATGCTATGAGGTGATTTTTATTTATGCAATAAAATTGTACATCTATAAACAAGGAAATAAAAAGAATATATACAATAAAAGGCAATATCCTAGAATTAAGGTGAATCAGTGATAGGAGCTAGAATCATGGAGAATCAACTATTTTCTTGGTCACAATCAGGAGAAGTGGATTCTCCTCTAATATCCCTCTCAAATTTGGCGTTAGTAAAATGGGAAAAATGCACAACTTGCAACAATCCAATAAAAACTATAATTTCGACACCCCTTTAGTGAAGACATCGGCCAATTGAAGATGAGAGGGGACAAACCCAAGACTAAGGACCCGTCGAGCTACAAGTTCCCTAACAAAATGATAATCGATGTCAATGTGTTTGGAACAAGACTTGGTGACTGGGTTGGAGGCCATAAAGATAGCACTTTGGTTATCGCATAAAAATCTCGGAGGAGAGGGAAGTGTGATATGAAGCTCACGAAGAAGATGAAGTGTCCAGGAAAGTTCAACAGCGATAGAAGCTAGAGCACGATATTCGACTTCAGCACTTGAAAGAGCAATAGTAGTTTGCTTTTTCGAACACCATGAGATGAGAATTTGGCCAAATTAAACAACATAGCCTGTTGTAGAGCGCTAGGTAACAGGGCAGCCGACCCAAGCTGCATCAGAATAACCAAGCAAAGTCAAAGAAGAATCTCGCGAGAGTTGTAAGCCATAATGATAGGTGCCCTTAACATATCGTAAAATACGCTTCAAGGCACAGAAGTGATCAGTAGTAGGAGCATGCATATATTGACATATAGAGTTAACACTGTAAGATAAATCAGGTCAGGTAAGAGTCAAATATTGCAAAACTCCTACAAGTGACTGAAACTGAGTGGCATCAGAATGAGCAGTTCCAGATTCAATTAGATGAGATCCCACCAAAAAAAGAGTAGAAATAGGTTTGCAATCCACCATATTTGCCTGAGTCATCAAATCAAGAGCATATTTGGTTTGGCTGAGAAAAAAATCCTTTTTCATTGCGAATAACCTCAATTCCCAAAAAATAGTGTAAATCACCAAGATCCTTCATTGAAAATTCTCGTGCCAATCGATCGATGAGTGTATGAAGCATAGACTGATTATTACCAGTAATAACCATATCATCGACATATAAGAGAAGATAAATAACATCATGAGGACCATGATACACAAAAAGTAAGGAATCGGCACGACTCGCAATAAAACCAAGTCCAAGCAAAAACTGATTGAAACACTAGAACCATGCCCGTGGGGCCTGTTTTAGACCATAAAGAGCACGTTGTAAGCGGAAAACATGAGAAGCGAATTAGGGATCAGTGTATCCTGGTGGTTGTTCCATGTAAACTTCCTCTATAAGAAAACCATGGAGAAATGCATTTTTGACGTCAAGCTGATGAAGTGACCAGCCATGCATAGCAGCTAGGGACAAAATAATTCGAACAGTGGTTGGCCGAAAAACTGGACTGAATGTGTCACCATGTTTCTGAGAAAAAACTTGGGCCACAAGACGATCTTTGTGAAGTTATATAGAGCCATATACTAGAAGCTTTGTCTTAAATATCCACCGACAGCCCACAACATTATGATCACTCGGACGTGGAACCAAACACCATGTGTTATTGTGCTTGAGAGCAGTAATTTCATCATCCATGGCAGAAAGGCACTCCGGATAATTGACAACTGACTTAAATCCACGAGGCTCCTTGACTGCAAGATGTACCTAAAACCACAGGGGAGCTGACAAAGCACATAACGAATGAATAGTATGGGGTTTAACAATACCGTTCTTAGCATGAGTAACCATAGGGTGAGTAGCTGTCGGCAATTGACTGAGGAAGAAGGAAAATGAGGTATGACTTCCAATGCTATCGCCGGTAATGAAGGCTGAGGAGAATCTTCAGGAGGTGGTGAAGGAATACTTGAATCAACACAAGGAACACACAATGTGGGGGCCAGGCGATGAGCTGAAGTCACACTTGAGGAAGTATCATTAGGAAGAAAAGTGTTAGAAGGGTCATCAAAAGTGACATAATCAACACTATCCAAAGAAGGAAGAGTCGAGCTGGAAGCATAAGGAAAATAATCTTAAAAAATTGGACATGGCGAGAAATATAAACCCAATTAGTTTTCTTATCCAAGCAACGAAAAAATTTGTGAAGATGACTATAGCCAATAAAAACACAAGGGACATTAGAGATAATTTATTTGGCATATAATCACGTAGAAGAGGAAAACAAAGGCAACCAAAAGTACGTTACAAGGAATAAGGAGGAGGATAACCATATAAAATTTCTCAAAGGGACTTACCCTGAAGAATCGGTGATGGGAGGCGATTAATGAGATAACATGCCGTGGAAAAATACTCAACCCATAAACGTAAAGGTGCATGAGAATGAAACATGAGGGTGAGACCAGTTTCAGTAATGTGGTGATGCTTTCTCTCAGCGATACCGTTCTAATTTGGTGTATAAGGACAGGCAATTAGCTGAATTATACTATTTTCACGAAGAAAAAAGGTAAAATGATGATTAGTAAATTCAGTACCACCGTCACATTGAAAATATTTGACTTTACAGTCAAATTGAATTTGCACATACTTATTAAACTGAACAAATATGTCAAAAAATCAGACTTAAGCTTTAACGGATAAAACCAACTAAAGCGGGAAAATTCGTCTATCAGAACGCAATAGTACTTATATCCGGAAGGAGAAGTAACTGGTGAAGGACCCTATAAATCGCAATGTATCCTTTCAAATAAAGAGGCACAACGTTGATCTGAATTAGAGAAAGGTAAACGATGACTTTTGCCCAAATTGACAACCAAAACAAGGTTTAAAATCAATCTTACTCTTATGAGAAAGGGTAATAGCACCATGCTTATTTAAAGAATAAATAATGTGAAACGATGGATGTCCTAATCTTGTATGCCAAGCGACAGATGAAGCACGAGAGGTAGATTTAGAAACACTAGATAAAAAACTTGCATGTTCGCGGTCTAGAACATAGAGCCTTTTATCACGTTACTCGAGTCCCACCACCGTTATTGTTGCTAGATCCTGTATGGTAAAACCAAAAGAAGAAGAAGTGACCAAACAATTGTTCTCACGAGTAAGCTTGCTGATTCACAAGAGATTTTTAGTAAGACTAGGAACAAGGAGAACATCAGACAATGGTAAAGGATGAGAAGCAACAATGGATGAAATTGAACCGATGCGAGAAATGGGCATGGAAGTACCGTTACTAACATACACCCGTTGATTACCAGTATAAGGAACTGAATTGTCAAAAGCAACAACATCATTCGTCATATGCGAAGTAGCCCCAGTATCCGTATACCACTAGTAATCAGTCCGTTCATCAACCGAAGTAGCAGCAAAGGCTTTAATCAAACTATCTGCCTTGGCTTTCATCAATAACTTGCCAAGTTTATGACATTTCTTGGCAGTGTGCCTCTCTTTACCACACCCCTGACAGGTAACGCCTGGAGTCTTGGAAATATTTCCAAAAGCAGACGAAGAGAAGGCATGATTTAGGCGTCAAGAAGAAGAAGAACCTTGTTGGGCAACAAGAGATAACTAGGAAGATGAGTCACCATGAAGGGACCGAGAGAAAAGCTCATGGCTGAGGGCTTTCGGCACCAAGTTGG